AATTTACATTCTGTGATACAATGTTATAGTTAGAAGAATAGGGAATGGACATGTGCACATACAAATGAGCAGCGTCAGTTCCCCCTTTCTCACGACTGTAGTAATATCCTTAAAGACAAAGTCACTGGATCCATTTTTATAATTATAATTAGCATCCATAGATAATAATTTTTATTTAAAAGCACCATCAACTTATCTATTGTATTAACTTTTCTCTTTTTCTCTCTACATTTCAGAGCTAATTAAACCCTATTGCCTTTTCTCCCTTAAAATATAGTGGCCACTTAGTGCTTAATGCCCCCAAACCAATTCCTTAGTTAAATATTTGAGGCTGAACTTCAACTGGTTCCTCAGGATGTTTTTATCCTTATTGTCCGCCACTCCCAAGAAGCTTTAGTTCTTCCAAACTAAACATTTATCATTTAATCAAAACTAAGATTGAAACTTTTCTTTCTCCAAGAAGTATTTTTAGGTTAGCTCCATCTCACTGATTAATCCTTTACTTTCACCTCAAATGGATATCTAAGTTATTTGACTGTATTACAAGAATTTAATGGGAGTCGTTATTGCTCAAAATAAGTAGTCTTGCAGCATTAGTGGATTATAAATACTTTCAGTTTCTATATTTATAAATCTAATCATTAGAACCATACTGAGTGTGAATGTCATTTCTTTAAAAGGGAAACCACTTCCCCCTATTTAGTAACTGCCGTTTAGTTATCGCCTGGTGAAAACAGGAAGACACTGAGCACTATAGAGATTGGTCAAAAATAGAAACAAGTGGTTATCACTACTAATTTCTAAAATAAATATATGCATCTTATGCATGCATATTTAATCTTTATTAAGCAGCCAAACTTAAGCAACTAACAGATCCTCAGTTTTGAATACTGTGTGAGGATGTTTACACTGCACAAGGGGAGCCAGTCCACAGTAAATCCTTTTGCACGTGGAGCAGCATTCCTTGCCCATCAATGTGCCACTAGAACATGATGGATAATTTCTTGTGAAAGAAAACTAAGCACAGTGAAAATGATGAATAGATTCCTCAGCTTAAGTAAGAAAATCTCAATTGCTCTTCTGGGTTCCCAGTACTTATATGCCTTCCTTTAAGCAACAGCATGGAATATGACAGTCTAGTTTTTCAAGGGATGGCGTACTCAGTCAACCACATCACAAAACTAAATCAAGAGAAATTATCTGCAGAAACTCTAAGAGCCATCCACTTCCCTAGCAGTCTGTGTCGTATCTTTGCACGAGGTGGATCACCAGAAGTCTATACACTTGGACCACATCAGCTTAGCCCTTTAAAAAGAAGCTTCACTGATTTCTTGCTCCTTAATGTTGTGCCAACTGCTGTAAGAAACAACTGTCAATCCACTTTTGCATGGGCTGTGAAACTACAGTTGGTCACTGTATGTAACATCCATAAATGTACTTCACATACTAACCTACCCGATTTTTTTAAAGAATTTAATTCAGGTAAAAACTGGATCCTATTTGCCTTTCTGATCCTTAAGGTTTAAGCACTTATGACTGTGATCCTTTTTCACACAATTATATTGATCCTCAACCAGCACTGCAATCAATTGGCATACTTGTTGCTTCTTTTATTTTCCCCAACTTTTCTTTTCTTAATCCTTTTATTACTTTTGTCTTCATTTGTGTGGTCTCAAATTCTTTTGAGAAAGGCAAAGTACAGATATTACGTTACTAATACTTCTGGACTTTTCAAAGAACTACTGCCAATGTTTCACTTTCAGTTAAAAGTTTAAAAAATTGTGTCTGGAGTATGAAGCAAAATGGAACATTACATTTATTAAATAGCAGTTAGAAAAAATTCTCACTACATGTAAAATGACTTCATCATCCTTGATCACAGCACAGTAGCAATGAAATGCAATCACCAAGCACACACTCATTCCATACATACATATATGCAGACTGGACATCTACATGTATTTATTTTCTTTCTTTCTTTTTTTTTTTGCTGGGAGAGATTCACCCTGAGCTAACATCTGTTGCCAATCTTCCTGTCTCTGTCTCTGTCTCTGTCTCTCTTTTCCTCCTCATAACCCCAGTACACAGTTGTATATTCTAGTTGTAAGTCCTTCTAGTTCTTCTATGTGAGCCACTGCCACAGCATGGCTACTGACAGAAACAGTGGTGCGCTTCTGTGCTGGGAACTGAACCTGAGCTGCTGAAGCACAGCGTGCCAAACTTTGACCACTAGGCCATCCAGGCTGGCTCTACATGTATTTAAACTGCAATAGCACATTTAAAAGATAATTTCATGAAATTCCTGCCTAAGTTTATGGGTTCTCTTTGTGACTAACTATATAATTTCAGAGCTATTCAATGTTTTTTTAAACCAGATGTCACAATAACAAAATCTATTTCAACATTTTTTTAAATAGAGAAGCAATTCTTTCTCATAGTGTATCATCTAAGAAAGTTATAATTTTATATTACCTCATATATAGTCCATATTCAAATTTCTCCAGTTGCTTCCAAAATATGTAGTTTTAAAGAGAGAAAGAGAGAGAGAGATCTCTATCTCCAGGACCCTACCAAGGTGCGTGCACTGCATTTGGTGGCATGTCTCCTTGTCTCCTTAATTTTAGAACAGTCTCACCACCGTTATTTCTTTTATGAAAATGACATTATTCACAAGCCCACGACAGCTGTCTTACAGAATGTGTTCTGGATTTGTCTGATTCATACTTCATAAACAGATTTAAGTTCAACATTTTTAGCAGAAATACTATATAGGTGACATCGTGTATGACTCATTGCATCACTTCAGGAGACAAATGTCAGTTTGTCCCATTACAGGTAATGCTAAATTTGATCACCTGGCTAAGAATGTGACTGCCAGATCTCTCCACTATAAAGATGCACTTTTCTCTTTGCAATTCATAAATAATTGGTGAGACTATGTGAATATCCTGTTTACCTGAAATCTTTCACTCAATGGTTTTAATATCCAATGATGATCTTTGCCTCACTCAATTATTATTAATGCAAATCATTACCATTCCTTCTATATTTTTAGCCACCATTCTGCTGTAAAGAACAACTTCACATTTTCCCCCTCTTTTTTTTTTCTCTTTGTACTGGGGTAGGTTTTTCTTTTTTTTTTTTTAAGTATGATTATGGATTTAAAGATTCTCTTTTCATTCAATGCATTATGATTCATTACTATCATTACTCTTTTTGATATCAAATTGTTCCAAATTTTGCCTGTGGAACCCTTCAAGTGGGCTCTTATATCTTTTTGACATGTTCCCATCCATTTTTGAGCCTTTCTTGCTTTCTGACATAACAAAATGTTCCAGGGTGTCTCTGTCTCATGTTCTGGGATGAGGAATTTCTCTAAGGAGCACTGGCTCCTTTGAGTAGGAAACAGTATTTGGAAACCAAAATTCGGGCGCTGGGTATGGGTATGTTCATTCTTACTGAGGCATCAGTGCTTCTAAGCCCTTTCCACGCACTGAGATAGAAAACACACTTTTAAAAATCTATGAGTTCATATTGATAACTCCAATTCCGGCTCAATACCACAGTGTACTCCTCCATTTCCCTCATTCCATATTTATGTCTCCTAAGAATGCTGGCTCCTCCAAACCCAACATAATTACTCATTTGCTCTATCTTATATAATACACAAAATTATTTTAGAATTACTACATAAATACCACTAACAACAACAAATCTACTAAGTATGGTTAAAGGTCTTTTTGTAGGTTATGGTTCTTAGAATATTTCCCTTTAAGTTTGTGCAGTCAGAATAATATGTTTAGAAGCTACTTAAATTAATTTTTTGGTGATTATGTTATAAATTCGTTAAATTCATTTGTCTCTATTTATATTCAATTTGGAGGTTTGCTTTATCATTTTTATTTAATTCTGATGTCTGAATATGCGAAACATTTGCATAGTTCACAAGTCACAACTATGTCAAAACACGTCCTCAGAGAACTCTCACTTCCCTCCTTAACCTCTCCGCATCTCTCCTCACCCGCTCCTTATGGATAACTGTTCCACCGGTCTCTGGGTCAATCCTTCCTGTGTTTCTCCTTTGCAAAAATAAGCTTTATTTTTTTTCTTATTTTCCCTTCCTTATTACTAAAAACAGACCATAATTACTATACACACATTTTGTAGCTGGAAATCAATCCACGTCAGCTCAGAGAAATCTTCCTTATTCTTTTTACTATTATAGTTTATTCAGTCTCCTATGGACAGACATTTAGGTTTTTCCCAATATTCTGCTATTACAAATAATCCTACAATGACAAACTTAGAGCATATGTTATTCCATATCTGTACAGGCAATTCCTCAGGGTAAATCCCTGGAACTTGGACCAGCAGGGCAAAACGTAAATACAGGCATAGTTTTGCTAGATATTACAAAATCCTCATAAAGTTGTAGCATTTCACATTCCCATCAGCAATATATGAGAGCGTCTGTTTCCTCACAGGCTTATCAACTAAGGACATCCTAATTCTTTGAACCTTTGTCCACCTGAAAGGTGAATTGGCTCTCCATGTATTTTAGTTTACATTACCCTTATTATTAACGAAGTTGAACATCTTTTCATATATTGCCATGTGACATATCTTTTTTGGTGAACTGTCCCTGTCTTTTGTTCATTTTTTAAATCATTTTTCAATGGAAAAATTACTTTGATAAAGCTACAATGATCCCTCTAAACTTTGTTTTAAAAAGGAAAGAATAAAACACAAAAAATGGAAGAAAAATGTATGAATTAACTGAAAAGAATACTAACATCACTTAAAACTATACTGTCGTATTCAGACAGTCCATTAAAAAGTGGCAGTTATTGCAAGTGAGAAGAAGGTTAAGAAAAGTGCACTCAAGTTTGCTAACTAGCAATAAATAGTTAATCCCACAAATAACCAAGCCACTGAGGAAGGCCAAAGCTTGGGGAAGAGCTGACTGAGACATTTTGCTGTCATGGTTTCATTACACCCACCTCATTAGTGCAGGTCATTCTTCGAGGGTGAGGGGCTTCCTGTTGCAGCTGATACACTGCGAAGGGAGAAGGTAAAGACGTCAGTTTCCTTTATGCAAAACATCTGACTATATAAGGAATCACAAACTGGTTGCTATTGTATGTTTACCATAAAACTGTGGTACAGTCCTACTTGTTATTAAGTTAAAATTTGTTATAAACAAAGCAAAGAAAGTAAACCAAACTAAATTTAGTGAAAGCGCAGGAGGAAGCACAAAGAGAAAAGTCATAATCCACACAAGTGTCTTTTTACCTTATAACAAAGCACTACTGGATATCTGGCTCTGTCTTCCATAATCTGGTCATTTACTGTCCCCAATTTTTGTGGATGTATTACATAAAGCATGTCTCCGATACAAGCAAATAATGGTTATGTGTTTTTAAAGTACATTATTAAGTGTCAAACTTGAAACCAAAATTAGGATTTATAGGCTAGAAGTAACAGATTTTCTGTTTTTCCCCCTTGTTTATATTACAAACATCTATCTTCAAAGATAATCTCCCCTAAAAACAAAATTTCTGAGTCAAAGTTACCACACTCTTTCAACTAGGGCAAATGCAGCAAAAGAAAGAATTCTGGTACTGAAATAACTTACCAAGGAGGGGATAATTTTTAGGGTATCTGAAATGGATTAGTGAAAATTACACCGATACTATGACATTCCAGCCTTTTTGGATTTCAGCCTTTTTGATTTGAAATGAAGAAGAAGCGAATAGAATGTGTGGTTATCAGAGAAAGTATGTTTATATATGTCTAAGTTTATCTTTGGGAGAGATTTTTTTTTCTATTTCTACATATATAATCACATATAATTAAATTTAACACCGTATTTAAGTACTTAGACATTCCGTCAACATAACATAAAACTATCCAGACATCTGGGATTGTCAGATAAAGAATGACTCAGATTTCAACTGGATATCATTATACAGACTCCACCTCTGACCATATTCATTCATACATATCATAGGAACATATATAAATACACACAATTAGACTATATATATAACTAGACCACATATATGCATATACACAATGTATATACCGAGAATATACACAAACACCCATCACTGTTATGTATTGCTATCTAAAGGTGATATAGCATTGTGGCTAAGAATTTGAACTCTTGAATCAGACCACCTGGGGTTTGAACACTGGGGCTTTGCCACTAACACCGCATAATGTGCCTCAGTGTTCCTCATATGTAAAGTGGGGATAACAGTAGTTTCCACTTCATAGATTACTGAAAGGATTAAATAACTTACTATATGTAAAAGACTTAAAATAGTCCCCAGCACATAGGACACACTCAATAAAGATTAGCTATTACTACAAGTAGGTGACTGATATTAATACATAAAATCCTTTACGATAATATTTGGTTACCAGGATGCATCTTGAGTTCATCACCAAAACATAACACCACAGTAATGCTATAATTTAAAAGGCACTGAGAAGATTCAGATTTATCGTTTAAAAAATCAAAAACAAAGCAATCTCTCAGTTAATAATGTTTGAAATTTTACTGATAGAAATCTATTCCTTTGCCTTTTCCTCCCGGGTGCAAAAATCTCTAAGAGAGGTAATACATTAAAATAGTTTTAGATACCTACATATTATTGTGAGAGTTAGTTTTTCAAAAATATTCCTGTGAATATATGTGTATAGATTAAAGAGATGATATGAAGGGAGTAACTGTGAGATGGGGAAGGGAAGGAAGAGAGCACTGAAACCAGCTTTGTCTGGTCCTGACAGTGAGAGCATGCGTCTCTCACAGAGATGTGTGTAAACCCCCATCCTCCCTACAGAAGCCCAAAGATGACTTGCAAAAAGGGAGGCTTCTTCAGGTCCATTCCTCCACATTACTAACCGTGTAAGATGTGAGAATTCAGTTCACATTTCTGCTTTGATCAGTAATTCTCAAAAGATCAGCTGTTTCCCTTCATCAAGAAAATTCTTTGGAAGGTACTGTCATTTACGGAAACTCAACTATGAAAATTGAATGGCAGTCAACAAGGACAGTTTAAAAGTTACTAGAGAAAGTAAAATGTTGATTTTGATTCAAAGTACAAACACTGTAGAACCTGGTTATCATCAGAAATGCAGCCACCTATTCAGTAAGCAAACATCAAGCTAAGCCAGTATGAAAAAAGGAGGAACAATATTGTCACATGAGAATCTCACCCTTTGTTTTAATCAGAGTTTCAAAGGGTATAGTTCTCTTTCATGAGGAGGAGTAATTTTTAGATAAATGCCTCCTTTTTGGCTACCAATGGTTAGTCTATTTTTAAGACTTATTTTTTAATAAATAATATATAAAGGGAGGCCTTTGGATATTGTATAACTGAACATAACATATGAATTCAGGGAACACCTATCAAAAAGATCATTAAAAAACTATACAAAGTAATAAGGACTAGCTAATTCAGGCCCTTTCCAGATTAGAATTTTTGGTAATTTAAATTGGAATTCAGCTGAAATTTTAATTGCACAATCATTAAGTGATTCACCAAAAATTAATAACTAAATTCAAGATGAGAAGATATATGATTAAAGTACTTAACATTTTCCAATCACCTTAAAAGTGTCACTGCTTGTAAACTTCTTAATGAATTTCTCAGTACTTAGAGACAGAAACATTGTTAAGTTCAGAGTTCACAAGTTGGTATCTTGAGGTCAAAACTGGCTCACTTATATTTGGCTTGCTGTTTTCTAAATTTAAATTCGTTTTTAACATTTAAAAATTAAGAAACCTGGGGCTGGCCCTGTGGCCTAGTCGTTAAGTTTGGCACACTCCACTGTGGAAGCAGACTGGGGTCAGTTCCTGGGCACAGACCTACATCACTCACTGGCAGCAACCCACATACAAAATAGAAGACGACTGGCAACAGATCTTAGCTCAGGGCAAATCTTCCTCAGCAAAAAAAATATTAAAAAATAAAAATAAATTTAAGAGATTTAACAACAACAAAGCAGAAAAGAATTCCAGCTTCTCTTGAAAAATCAGCACATGTGAAACATCGGACCCAGAGTCTTAGATGAACATAACAAAATGGAGCTAATTATGAGCTACCTGCTGCAGACAGGGAATCGACGCTCTACTTTCTCACAGTTGCCCACCTGGCTCGCTTGCCTCATTTATTACATGTTAGGTCCCTGGTTTAATTCAAGCAATATATATCAAAAAGCAATAAAACTATATTTATTTAAAAAGAGTGACCTCAACTTAGACTTCTTGTTAATTCTATTTTCCTATCGGTTTGTACTTGTAAGGATTTAGAATTAAGTTTTCACAAGCTCAGTTGAACCAAAATCGGAAAGCAGAACAGAGGCATGGGTAAAATAAACTTCTTACAGAATCACAGTGAAAATAAGTTTCTTATAGATCTCACTGTGAAAAGCTATTCAGATCCCACCATGCTAAAGACAGGGAAAAAAAAAACCTAACATGATGCAAATCTTGACACTAAAATTTAACTGTCCCCTCAGTTTTATAGATGTAACACATAATAAGGGAACAACCAGAACAGTTTGAATAGTTTTTGTTCTGCTTATATGTCCTTATGTGGACTGACATACTTGATTTTTTTTTTTTTTGAGGAAGATTAGCCCTTAGCTAACTGCTGCCAATCCTCCTCTTTTCACGGAGGAAGACTGGCCCTGAGCTAACATCCATGCCCATCTTCCTCTACTTTCTACGTGGGACGCCTACCACAGCATGGCTTGCCAAGTGGTGCCATGTCCGAACCCAGGATCCGAACCGGCGAACCCCGGGCCACTGAAGCGGAACGTGTGCACTTAACCACTGTGCCACCAGGCCGGCCCCTTGATTTTTTTAAAAATCTCAATCCATTTAGATTTTACTATTGAGAAATTTTTTTCAATTACAAAAATTAAAGTCACTTCACAGAGAAGATGATGACTGCATTATGGTTTGTCAGTCCCTAAGACTGTTCATAAAATTGACTGTCAGTGATCAATTCTAAACAAGATCTATCTAGGTCTGGCCTCAGAATTAAACAAAGCAGCTCAACTATTAAGGGTCCTGGGCAGGGCTTGCTGCCCCAGTTACTCAAAATTCCAGTCTCTGTCGATGAAATAAGGGCATCACAGGCTTGTCGGTCTTTAAAACTTTTCATATTAAAATGCACAGACTCCTGGACAGATGAACTTTTAAAGGTACTATCAATAAACACCCTACTGGAGATTATTTACAGCTGGCTGAAGATAAAACCATAAAACTGATAATGGCAAAGAGAATACAAACAAAAAAGCAAATTAAAAAACTCAACCTGAATCACAATTTTTTCTGGGATCAGAATTTGGACAAACATTTAATAATCTATATGATCATCATGACAATTACTTCCATGTTAGAATGCAATTTTTGCATGTTTTCTTATCAGTTAAAAATCTGAGCGTGTTCAAATTATTGGAAGACAACATCAACATCATGATTTTATAAGAAAAATTAAACAAGATCGGTTTTAAAAATGAACCTTTCCACTTGACTTTAACACAGTTTAATCATAAAATTTCCTTGAATTTGAAGTTTTTTCATTTGATGTTCAGAAGATTAAAAGTCTATTCTAACAATTTGCTCCCTGTTTCTACTATTAAAATGATGGCTGATGGGGAGGCCAGCCCCATGGCAGAGTAGTTAAGTTCACACGCTCTGCTTTGGTGGCCAGGGGTTCGCTTGTTCAGATCCTGAGCACAGACCTACATACCACTCATCAAGCCATGCTGTGCAGCAACCCACATAGAAGAATAGAATGACCTACAACTAGGATATATAACTATGTACTGGGCCTTTGAGGAGAAAAAAAAAGAGGAAGATTGGCAACAGATGTTAGCTCAGGGCCAATCTTCCTCACCAAAAAAAAATTAAAAATAAATAAAATAAAATGATGGGGGTACATGGTGTACTCAGGCACTGAAGTTACTAAAAGAAACTATAAACCTCAGTGGCAGAATTGTCACCAAAAAAATAAATATGCCATTTTTTCTTTTTTTGTGTGTGAGGAAGCTTGGCCCTGAGCTAACATCTGTGCCCATCTTCCTCTAGAAATATGCCATTTTTTAAGACAAATAGCAGCTACTGTAAGATATTTGAAGATAAAGAAAATATAAACTACATATACTACATTTAGTAATCAATATTCTTCAGGGGTAAAAATCACCACCATGATTCAATAACAGTCTGAGGCTTCATAAAAGCTCTTACATAAAAAATGTGCAAAGCACAAGTTAGAGCAGAGAGAACAAAGATAAACTGAAACCAGAAAACGCAGAGAAGACTTTTAAAGAGACTTCCAGCCAATGAGATTATGAGACAAAATCTTTTGGAGGTAGAGAACATTAGCCATTTTTATACATTCTTTGAAATACACTCCCCAGAAACAGCAGCAGGGATGGGAGAGAAAGCATCCACGGCAATATTTTTAGACACTGTTCACATTTTGCTTACTATAATTAGCCCAAAGTAGCAACCTATTAAAATAAAACCATCTATTGTTCTGGGAGCACGAAATCAATGAGAATCCCAATTGCTGCTCCTTCGGTCAGCAAATTTCAGCAACTTACAAATATCAACATTTAGAATAATTCAACATTTACAAAGATGTTAACAATGTACATTTAAAGTACCGGTTTCTTAGGTTGCTTATCCAACTCTATACACAACAAACAAAACTTACAGTCCTGGTTTCTGCAACAGTACATGCATGGGTTTCTTTTTAAAACTATTTTGCTTACATTAACCCTATTTCCTCTTTTAAAAAATCTGAACTATCTTTTACTTGATGAAATAATATTCTCTAGGAAACAAGGAAGGGAAAATAAATGACTAAGAACCTAGACTCTTTGAAGAGATTTTTATTCTAATGCAAAATTTAAAGAGCAATACAGAATTCATATGTCTCTCATTTATATTTGGGAAATCAATTTCCAAAAAAAAAGAACACCTTTTTTTTTGCCTCTTTTTAGCCATTCAAACTATAGAGATAGCCCCCTGACTTATCATCATCTACATTCCTTTTTTCATATAAATAATCAGGATCTGAGAATAAATAGATTGCTTGAATTCTTAGCTTCTCCTTGCGTTATTTTCCTCGGCCACTGTCGATAAGAGGGCTCAAGCTCCATATGGAATTCCGTGCAAGGTCACAGGGAGGAGACGCAGCCAGACATGCAAACCACACACAGACTTCGTGGAAACACTCCTGTTTCTTCACAATTACTTCTGTGCTATTCCCAAATCCTGCTGTGAATTAATTTTTCAATAATGGGTACAAAATGCAATGAATCTTCCTATCTAATGATCCTAATACGTTTATATTACTTATGAAGCACTATAACCCACTCAATTTAAAATTACTTGTATACTTACAGTAAGATTTCCAAACAGGAGGTCTATATTCATCTGTATCTGAAAGAATAAACAACAAATTAACATGACTGAATATTTATATTTTAAATGAGATATTTTAATCATTAATTCATTTAATATATTTGTTGAGGTCTATTTGTCCTAGGCATTGTGCTAGGCACTAAAGGGCATTCCAAGGTTTTTCAGTCTTGGTCCTTACTTTCTTGGAGAGCAGTTTACAAAGATGTCCAAAGAAAGCTATTGTATTTATTCAACTGCTTATCACATAAAAACATCAAGGTTAATTTTTACTGCTGGCACTCATTTCTTACAGTCACTGAGGTAAAAGTCAATAAAGTCTTTGTTTCTTTGGGCTTGATTCCATGATCATTTCATTGAAAGACCCATGAAGTCCTTGGAATTTTTCCTTTTTAGTCAAATTGACCAGGTAATTTTAATCCTCAGAGAAGTATTTCTGTATTTCCCCCCATCATATTGGGGGGATTCCACTGTAACTGATTTCACTAACATCAGGAGAACAGAGCAGCAAGGTGCAGGTCTTAGTCCTCACACATCCTGGACAATCAAAGCCAGGAAATGAGAAACGCTCCAATAGAAGGGAGAGTACCCGGGGAGCCACAAAGAACACGCGGCGGACATCTGCTCTTGAAGCACATTTCCCCTCACTCTGCTGGAGTGCGGATGTAGGAGATGGTGTGAAGAGGCAGTGGAAAGAGATGGAAATACAAACACATGAGGGAGATGGAGGGATCAGAGAGAGGAGAGGGGCCAGTGTGGTCTGGCTTCTCATCAGTAAAGCACAGGTGAGGAATAATTTTCCCAGCCACAAGCTCTGCCTGCAAGGCCAGGTATCCAAACCACCAGACAGAGCATTTTGCTGTGGGAAGGTGTGGCCCAGCCACATTACCTGGCTCTGCTGGCATCCAACATGAACCCATTAGGAATCTGATCCTTAAAATTTGGTCTCCAAGGAGGCAGGAAAATTCCTGGAACGTTTATTGAGAAGGTGCAATCTAGCATATGTAGTTCAAGTAAAAATGGTCATAGACTCGAAACGTTCAGCCTCCAACTCCCAAACTTTAAGACGCAATCCCACACTTCCTTTATGATGTGTTATCATAAACCACACAAACATTTTGAGTCAGTAGGGCTACACCAAGACTACTAACGATAAGTGTAAGGACATAAAAGGGAAATTCTAAGTCATGTACAAAATGCTTGACACCCAATAGAAGTGTTCAAATATGTTTTCTCAAAAAACGAATAAAAGATTATATGAATAAATGAATAATGAAGTAATGCAGCAAATACAGTTGACCCTCATTATTTGAGGTAGCTATATTCTATAAAGTCATCACAAACACTGAATTAACAAACACTGAACCACTGCTCCTAAGGGAAACCAAGTTAGGTTCCCGTGAGCCTCTGGACATTTTCATCATCCAACCAATACATAGCCTTGTTTCATGTGTGTTTCTGTTTAAAAGACACCTTATTTAGTATACATTGTTGATTCATTAACATAGAACTCACAGCCAACAGCACTGTAACTCATGCCTCAATGAAGCTTACCTAACACGTGTTTTCTCCATAACATATATCACAGCCTTCTGGCTCTTAGAACACCAGAGAACACTTCAGCACTATGCTTGAGGGCCATTTTAAACAACAAAATCACCAATAAAAAAAAAAAACACAAAAATGCAAAAAATGTGGCACTAAATAGGCTACGGAAAAAACACTTTAGAGTATGAGAGCGGAAACAAAGAAGGCAGAGAGTCACCTGGTCCGACTTCAGCTGGGAATCTGTGGGTCATGCAACTCAAATATTTTGCCACTGTGCGAATGTTGGCAAATGACCACGAAAGTGTCACAGGTATTTATTTTAGGGTTACAAATAAATGCTAGCAAGTAAGTAAATTTGCAAAAGCAGAATCATGAACAATGAGGACTGACTGTGTACATGAATGAGCAATTATTAAGGAAAACTGCCAACTCAGGTGAACTTGCGTAGTAATGACATAAAGTTAGGATGAAATATGACCTTCACACAGAGATACATAGATATATACATATTTTCTTTGCTGGGGGGGGGGGTGTTTGAGTGTATTTAGGGGGTTAATTATATTGAGATTCGTCTTAAGTAAATTATAATTAATTCAATTATATGTTTTTAATACTAGGAAAATTTTGCCTGCAAGCATTCAAGCCATTTTATGATTTCTTTGAGGACACATGAACGCTGTGACATTGTCTTTAATCCTAAACTGGTTCAGGGTTTAAGAGGAGAGCGTGCACTCACTGTCTCGGTACTAGCCCATATTCCACGTGTGTCTCGGCCTCCTTGCCAGGGTGTGAACAGCATAAGCTGCAGTGACCAGGCACCTCCTGACCCACTGTGTGGAAGACACCATGGGTGGTCAAGAAGCGGGAGGGCACTCAACCAGGCTGGAACCCAGTGTAGTAAAGAATTTAACCTCATTCCAAAAGAGGTCTAGTTTCTGCCCCCCGCTCCTAAGAGACACTTGTCCTTGCCTGGGAGCCTTGGGCTAGCCAGAGTAACAACGTGACGTAGGGCGGGGCTTTGGGTCACACAGTGTCAGTCAACCTGGAGACTGAAATCAACCACATGGGCAGTCAGTCAGCCATGTGTGCGTAACAAAGCCCCCACAAAAACTGTGAACTCAAGGCTTGGGAGAGATTCCTTGGTTGGAAATACTCCATGGGTACTGTCACACATCCATGTGGGAAGAGCATGCATCCTGACTCGATACAGAGAGGACGAGGGAAGCTCCACTTCTCTCCTGGACTCTACCTTCTATGTGCTTCTTCCCTTGGCTGGCTTTAATCTGTATCCTTTCCCTGTAATAAACCACGACCCTGAGTATAACAGCGTTTAACAAGTTCTGTGAGTCCTTCTAGCGGATTATTGAACCTGAGGGCGATTTGGGGGAACCCCTCCAGCTTGCAGTTGGTGTCAGAAGCGAGGAAAGTCTCCAGGACTGTGCCCTCTGACTTTGTAGCAGCCCTAACTCCTTGGAAACCCTGTGCAAAGCCTGCAGCTGAGCAGTGGGGGCCTCCTGGACTTTGACTTTGGAGAAGGTGAGAGACAAAGAGGCTAATACTTCAAGTCCTGTCTCTGGGGAATTGTCTGTCTAGTCCTAGACAGAGCTTTCTCAGGTGAACATCAACCTTCACCTCTGTGTGACTTTAGGAAATTTACTACTTCTCTGAATCTTAATTTCTTTATCTATACAATAGAGTAACAATCTCATCTAAAATGGGAATAGTAACAACACAGGTGTGCTGTGAGGATTAAATTAGGTATTATACATAAGGCACCTTACACTTAGGAGACCTTTAGTAAATGAGTACCCTCTCCTGCCTTCACCAGAAGTGAGTTTAAAAACACAATGATATTACCCTATTGGCCTCAGGCCACTGTTAACGACTTCAGCCATGCATTTTCTTCTTATTTTGTTCTTCCCTGTACATCTCCTCTATTACAGAAGAGTTTATTCAAGACGCTACAGATCACAATTGGGTGGCCAAATAACCAAGACATGCTGGGAGAAAAGTTTGAGATTCCTTTAACACTATAACAGTTCTAATTATTAGTGACATTTAAGAGTACAGTTTGGGTTTTAAAAGTCTCTTCCCAGCAATCCAGTTTTTGCTGATGGGAGTATAAACTGGCACAACCTCTCTGGAGAGCAACTGGCACTACCTATCACAAGCCCTTAAAAGTACATCACAGACATCTGTTAAGGCAGAGCTTAAAGGAGATGCTCTTTGAAGGGGAACATTTAAAAATTACGACCCTCTTTCTTATGTTTAGAGGTGGAGACCTCAGGTCACCTTGGCATGGATCTTTTTGTTGACCATGTTAGGCAAAGGGTGGGCACCACTGTCCTCAGGACTCAAGGGAAAGGGGCCCACTGGGAGGGGAAGTTGACGGCTTAGAAAAACATGCCTCAACCTCTTGATATGTAGAATTAGTTGCCAGAGCTGGGGAGACCAATTCTCCAGTACCCTAAATCCTTCTGGAAGGGAAGAAACATTACCCAATCTTTGATTCCTCAGATTCACAGTTAAGGAGCATTGTCATAGCAGAAACTCATAACCCAAACCAAGTTCCACTGGCAAGAAAAGGCAGAGACACTCCTGAAATAAAATGACTTTGAAGATGGGTTGATTGAAACTGGTGGTCCAGGGTCACACAAAGGCTTATAGGTTTATTATGGAGGACAGATTCTGGCCCAGCATGATGCCAAAAGTGTCTCTGACCTCAGCCTCCCGGCACACTGAATTGTTGAATATAAGCATGTAAACTAACAAACCTCAATCCTGACCTCCAATTGGGTCACTACTTTGACCTGAGCCAGGTCTGCCCAAACAGGGCATCCTAGCAGCGTTAGACAAGCAACTATCAACAAACAGTACAGGGCTGGTCTTAAACACTGAGAGAAAGTGATAAAGAGAAGGAAGATAACCAGTGTACCATTAAACTGTAGTTCTCTCTTGGGCATCTGGAAGAGGATGGACCACTTTGGGACTGAGCCAGCTTCCTGGCATTCAAACTTGGAGGAGAGGAGACTGCCTAAAGAGGAAGATACCAAATTTCCTGCTAATTGGGGCACTGATTAATAGAAAAAATATTGGCCCCTGAATTTACATAACAGGTCATGTCAGTTCCTCTGCATACCTTTTGACCCAGCAGTTTTATTTCTACAAATTTATTGTAAAGTAAATAAGGATGTTAGGAAAACATTCATACAGAATACTACTACTGCACTATTACTTTTAAGACTAAATAACTGGATTCAACTTAAATGCCCAACAATTGGAAACCGGCAGAACTGATATATTCCAGTTTGAAGACACCTTGACTACATCAAAAGGAGTTCACCTTTTAATCTGTTAGAAAGTCCATTCTCTTTAAATATTTTAAATCTTTTAAAGAGTTTATTTTTTTCCTTTTTCTCCCCAAAGCCCCCCGGTACATAGTTGTATATTCTTAGCTGTGCATCCTTCTAGTT